GTCAAATACTGCATGTCCTGCAGTCAGCTGTCACAGCGCAGTAGATTCTCTCCCATCCCATAGCTCTCGCCAAATCCCACAAGAGGAGCATTATTCCAGCCATTCCTGAAATCTTGGCTATTTCTACTCTGGATGCAAATATAGCGATAAGCACTAGAACAAATAGGCCAAACTACTGGCATTTCAAACACGGGCTCCATTATCTCAGCAGGGGGACTGGAGCGCCGCAGTGGCAACCCACGGCACAGGCGACATGACAGTCTCCTGGAGGGCAAACAACACCGGAGACACAAGCAGCGCGGGGTGGAAAAAACAGCCCTCATCTCTCCAGAATACTCTGCTCGGAATCACTAATGCACTCAAACCCTCATTGAGGAGCTGAAAGAGATAGAAAGGGGGGATGGAAAGCAGAACAACAGGCGTACGGAAAGGTTTCAGAATGACGACCTTCAGGTGTCGAGCATGAGATCGGCTTCGATGATTAACAGCAGAGTATGGTGGAAAGACGCACACGTATTCTGGGCGTACACTTCCCGAAGCTTAATTCCTCACTATGAAGTTACAGCAAAGGAGATTTTTCTCTCTCAGTCTCAAGTCTCAATACGAAGCCATTCTTGAGGGAAAAATCAACCCTTTCACCTTGTCTGTGAAAAACAAGCGCTCAGACAGCCCAACAAAAATAACCTTGAGTTTCATCAGGGATATTCTCACATTGAATGATAAACAGAGGCCCGAGGGACGCTGAACCAAAAAGCAGCTAATTGCCTGCCTCTGAAATTCGGCCCCTGTGTCCTCTCTGTGTTTATCTGAAAACAGAGTCAGTTTGGTGTGACCCGCTTTAGCTGCTGGTAGAAACGCTCGTTCATTTAACTGTCCGCAGAAACGCGAATCTCCGGCTCGTTACCACGGACCGGCGGGCTAAAGGTAAAGAAGATCATGTCTGCGACACAATTATCGAGTCTGCTGCGACCGACTCGCGCTTCTGCTGACACAAACAGTTGTCTCCCGAACGCTAATGTTCACGCTAAACTGCCACCCCCATAACCCGCTATTATCTAAGAGCCAACTGTTGAGAGGAAATTCTACAATCAAAGCTGTTTGCTAACGACAAAATAAATCATTAGCCAAGGAAAGCGAGATAGAGATGCACTTATCCATGATACCGTTTAGCGTCATGCCAACTGTTGTCTCACCGAGCAGCATGGGGAAGAATATCTGTCAGTATTTACAAGGTGATTTGCCAAGTCGTTATGAGTGCAAGGACGCAAACTCTCTGAAAACAAATTCGACGCTGACCTTCCGGCATCGAGTGCACTCAGGGCTGATTCATTTGGCAGTTACTGGCCACACACACGGCACACCACAGCTTGTATAATCAAGCCTGCGCTCGGGTTTGAGCTCTTTAAATGACAGGTGTTATGATCAGGTGAAAACTTCTCGCTGCCTTGGACTTTTATGGGACCGAGCTTTCCAAAGTTCATTCAAATCAATTTCACCATTAACACGGCGATGATTGATGCGGGATTAAAAAACAAAATCAATGGCTTCCACTGAAGATGCTGCAAATAATTTGCCTGTATCCAGATTGATGATGGGGGATGCATTTACTCCTGCTTTTGTTCGTCTTCCTTCTTGTTTTGATTGAACACTGGTCCACCTTGCCCTGATTTTGGTGCCAATGCAAGAATCTATTTTTAGTCTATCACAGAATAAACTTTATCATATATATATATATATATATATATATATGAAGAGTTCAGGTGCAAAAGCCTCTAAGTGCCATTTGAAATTTTCTTCTAAAATGATCATTTTTATCAAGCTTATATATTCAAGTTCAGTAATTTCACATAAATGACAATTAATAGGTAATCCTCATTGCAATTTAATTGAAATTACTGAACTTAAATATACAAGCTTGATAAAAATGATCATTCTAGAAGAAAATTTCAAATGGCACTTAGAGGCTTTTGCATCTGAACTCTTCATATATATATATATATATATATATATATAGAGAGAGAGAGAGAGAGAGAGAGAGAGAGAGAGAGAGAGAGAGAGTTATTTAAATCATAGAACAAGTTAAATAATTAAGTTTAATTAAGTGTGTAAGTACAGAAGGAAAAAAAAGTTTTAAAAAAAACGTTAATTTACCAAACAGAACCCAGGCTTGAATAATTCTCGGAAAGGTTATAAAAGAAAGTTGTTAAAGTGAAAAGCACTATGTTATACACTGCAGTTGACTATAATATCATCTAATCCAATAAGATGTAGAATGAAACCCCATAGAGCCATTTCGACTATGAGACGCGCCAGGGCTGTGCGTGTTAACTGCTCTCCAGTCATTCATATGTATCAGCATGAGTGGAATATCCAATAAATTCAAATCATCTTTAAACGAACCGCACTGATCAGTGCCCGGATTACACATGTAACACACTAAACTTGTACTGGAATCGACAGACTGCATCCCAGCCCACATTTCTCATAATCAGCTCATTATTACACTACAAACATTTGTTGTTGAGCGAACAACAAAGACAAGCAAACAGAGCTTAAACAAGATCCGTCTAAAGATCGCAAATTAAACTAATTCCTAGATATGAACATCTTCTCACAGGCCTAACCCATATCCTGTCGGGAAAACAACAAACATCCTGGGTAGAAACGTGTGGCTGACACTCTAACCCTGAGCAAAGTTCATTTTTTTCCTTTTCGCAGTCACAGACATCTAGGGGTCTGTGTGTGCTTGAGAGAGCACAGTGTGAGATCCCTTCAAACCCCAACAGTACAAACAGGCCCTGACAGATTTGCTCTCCCTAATTCGTGGTAAGAAAAACAGCACAAGTATAAAAGAGATCTTCTATGTGCTTTGAATAAGCACAAACACACTCGCAACGAAAGGAGAGGAAAAAAAGCTTCCAACAATAGTCATTTCTAATGGAAGAAGAGAGTGGGTGAGACTGTTCCGTTTCAATTCACTGATACCGCTAATGGCTTCTTAGCGGTTCCATGAAATCAAGCAGCTGTCAAGGCGATGCATCGGGAACAGGGAGGAAGAGGCGGCATTCCCACAAGAGAAAAGCATCACGTCAGGATGTTTGGCTAAACATCTGCTCCCCTGCTCTCATGGCTTTAGCAGCAGCAGCACATACTCAGACAAAGAGATGGGAGGTGGAAACACTGACTTCTCCATTTGAGGCATTCTGTAAAAACAACAGCCTGCTCCATGCATAATGACTAGGGCACTGGGCTAGATGAGACAGAGCCCTACTGATACAAAACAGACAGTCCGGCCATTTAACCAGCTTATGGCGAGCCTGAGGGTTTTGCGTCGCTGACCGCTAATTGTAAAAAGTTCATGACATGCATAACAGAAACTTTTAAATATGTAACACTTGCTTTTTGAAGCTGAAGTGGACTGTTCATTCACAAACCACAACTAATTTATTGAGGTAAACTATCATTACTTCTTACGCATTAGGAGGTCAACTGTAAAGTAAAACTCTGTGTGGAGGCAATATGTGCACAAATAAACCTGTAAGCCTACAAAAGTAGCTGCATATGCATAATAAGATTGAACATAAGTCTTCTAAATGGGGAAATGATTGTACAGTGAGACCATAATTATAAACCTTGCGAGCTATCCATGTGACAAACTCAAATAGGTCTGATTTCCTAATTCAGAAAGGATCAAAATACGATTCAGGTCGTTCGGGGAAAAATCTCTAAAATGAATGTGAAACCTCAGCTTACTGCTTCATCATTTAGCCCATTCTTCTTGTAAGAAAATCCCCTAATGGAAATTCTGAAATTTCTAAACTGCGAGGTTCATAATAAAATATCTCAATTTGAAACAAAGACAATAAACAGTTCATCTCACAAAGTGACATCATTACATGCTGATGTCATCCATTCCACCTGTAAACACCGAATTAAACATCGCGTATAATTCTCAAGACCACATCAAATGTTTGCTTTTATTCACCCAGAGTCATTCCAACACCAAAACTACACTAAAAACAGAGTTTTACAGCACTGTCAAGCGAGATAACACATTCGACGCCTTCTGTGCAAAACATCACATTTTACTTAAACTTCACATGACGTCACCGCTACCACATAAGACATTTCTAAACTTTCTGCCTGTAACGACATGTGCAGGTCGAGTCCTAAGATTACACGGATCCGCCAGTTAAAATTAACCAAGATGGCGTGAGGCTTGTTGTTTAGAGGGCAGAAAAAATGGAGGATATTGTAATATACACAAAGGGATAAATTTCAACAACTCGGCCAGGCGGCAGCTGCTGCTCTTTAAGGAAGCAACAAAGATAAGAGCAACGCGAAGCTCCAACTCAACACCAGCGACCCACTCCGACTAAGCAGGCGATTTTCTCGTCGAAAACACCTAACTGGGTGCTTTTAACGATTTATATCAAACGGAATTGTGAAGTAAATGCTTTATACTGTTGTTTAAATGAAGAGCTGTTAGCTTTTGCCATCATCTGAGAGACGGACATTAAACAGACCAAAGGTAGCTTCAGCTCCTCCAAGTGACTCTCCCGCATCGCCCTTTCGAAATAAGCCCTCTAAAATCAAATATTGCAGTTTTACCTACCCAAATGAACGATGGGAAAGCGTTTGCTCCTTTCAAACATGTTTGGATACATTCAGGAGTGTTTACAAACAGTTTACATTTAAAACACGTTACAGTTAAAGCGCACGCGAGGGGGCACAAAGGCAGATTCCTATTATGAAGTCACAACCCCCGCGCGCAACATTGTGTCCACTCGTAAAGTTTTGCTATATTCGCAGTCGTAACGGAACATTTCTCGACAACGCCGTTGAAACGGTTTCGACAAGTTTTGCGCTTTTTACGCTTTTTAAGGGACGCGCGTAGCTAACGTTAAGCCAACCTAAAGAAACTATCGAGTTAGCAACCCTCGCTAAGAGATCAAGCCAGCCAGCGACACAACATTAATTCTCCAATGAAATAACCGATCCAGCTCTCAATAAATTCAAAACTTACCCTTACTTTTGACACTTCGTGTAATTCCGTCTCGATCGGGTTCGAAGTATCACTTCAGGTAACGTTGCTCTTTGTTTTCCTTTTTCGATTTGCTTTTGGAAGAGGCCAGTGTAGCAGGAGATGATGAAGAAGGGAATTGGGCAGTAATTGAGTCTCGGTGTGTGTGAGTGAGTGAGTGACTGCGTGTGTGTTTGTGTGTGCGTGTGTGTTAGTTACGAACAGCAGATTGAAGGAGAGTCCTTTCAAGGTTTATTCTGCCTCACTTCAAGGAATCAAAGTGACGTCAGCGGACAATAATTAAACGATAAAACTTTTATTCGCTGCGAATAGACAAAAGTAGGCTATTTGTAGCCTAAGTGCAGGTTGCGCACAGAATTTTCAGCATTGTTAATATTTTTAAAACATCTGTCAATGACTGATCCGAAAACGCTGTTTTTTGTTTTTGTTTTTTATTTTTATTTTTGAAAACGGTTTCAGAAGTGTTATCTGTTCATAGTAATTATTGGTATTTACATAATGGCTGAGCATTGTTTTGAATTTGCCTGTTGGTGCTGGTGGGGTGGGTGTCATTTGTAATCAAGTTATATCATCATTTATCAAAATTGGCACATGGTGTGTAAAAGTTCAAAGCAGCACATGTTAATGAGATTGTGCTTTCAAATGAATTTGAAGACATTATAAGTACAATAGAAGTGGAAATCTGATAATATGGTGTCCAATGAAATGGAAATTTAATTCTAAGATTGGTTACTTGTCATTCAAAAGCTGTCAGATAAACCGCAAGACAGCGACGCATGATCAAACTTGATTGCATTTGTCTCCAGTTACCTCAATAGCTAAATTCAGGGATTATGGATTAACCGAGCTAATCTGACCCTATTTCCCCTCAAATCATCAGGGGAGTGAGACAAGGTGATAACGTTCCGATCTGACAACAGAATTTCCGTAATCCAAAAGATAGTAGCATCATATGAGCTGATGTCGTCTCACGTTGAAAGGAGACACACACACACACACACACACAAAAGAGGATCTGCCCCCGTGACGCTCAGGAGGAACAGAAAATAAAAGGCAGAATAATTGGAACTGTTACTTTTAGGATGACGCTCATTGATCTCTCATTTGAATTACACTTGCGGGCAAAGCGAGAGGCAGAATGGCCCTTTGCAGCGGGAGCCGAGCTGGGCACCACGAGGCAGACAGCCATCTGTGCCTAATTGTGTGCTTTTTCTCCCTGCCGCTGCACTCACAATCAGCAACAGGCTGAGGGGGGCCCTCTGACCTAGACTGGGACAGGGGCTGGCATGGGGTGAGGGATGAAGGGGGTGGGAGATTATTTCATTGAGCAAGAAAACAACAACAGGGGGGGGCAAGGAGGGACACGCTGCCACTCCTTAGTGGGAGAGGGACTAGAGGAGGAGGGGAGAGAGGGGCAACTCTTTCGGGAGTTTAGCTTCACGCTTCAGATTATGCCTGACTTGCGTGCGTTTAGGGTTTACTTGGAATGAGACGTTTACAGAAATCTCTTTTCAGCTGTAAAGCTGCTTTTCTCAATGAGAAGATTTATATCAAAACATATGTGTAATCATATTAAGTTGAATGTATATTTATTTATTTAAACATTTCTGGTTTTCTATTTTTAGTATAGTAATAGGTGACAAACATGTTTACACACAAAACATCTCCACTCTCTGGTGAGTGTTGCAAACAGTCAGGCACATTTGAATAATTTAAGCTTACTCTGTATTTAGAAATGACTAGTGTTATAGTCATGTAACTACAACTGCGCGCTAATTCCGATCATAATAGGAGACCGTTTGCTGCTGTCGTCTAATGAAACTATACTTGAAATCGTTCAAAGGAGAGCTGGTCAGTGGTGTTTTTGAAAGCTTGAGCGGGTATAGAGGGGACACATTCGCTTACCAATTTATGCATGAGTCCATTGATCCTCTCTGACCCCCCTCTTCACCTGTAGAGATGAAGGTGGGTGAAAAGAGATGCTTATGGAGGGACACGGCAGACCTCCTGGGATCAGTGCTCCGAAGAGCGGGAGGACAAGATGTGCAAAACGTGCATCTGAACATGTGTGTTTATCTGCGACCACAATAAGAAAGCCATAATTGCGCTTATATGTGTGTGTGCACACATGATGGCAATATTCCTCCCTCTTGAGTGACTATGTGTATAACCTCCTCCCCTCTTCCAGCAGAGACACACCGGGGTTTGTAATTGTGTTGGTGGTTCTTCATTAGACCCTGTGTGTGTGTGTTGGGGGTTGGGACGTGGGTGGGTGGGTGGGTGAGGAGCTGAGGCTCTTAGGACTATGAGCTGCGTCATTAACAGAGGCTGGGCCTCTCTGCATGCAGCCAGAATGTCAGCCGTACCTCGGTCATTTGAAACATAATAAGCACAAGTACAATGAGTGCAATGCAAGCCTGCTGGGGGAGGGGGGAAGTGGAGGGAACACAGCCTGTCTCTTCCATTGGGCTGGGTTTTGTTTCTTAAGAGGCTTGATTAGAAGATATAATATCCTAGCGACTAATAACTGGCAAAGATGATCTCCCTCGAGACTGATGGAAACCGAATGAATGTGGCGATTTGGATTTAATTGTTATTTTTCTATTAGGGTGCATAAAGACAGAGGAGATGTCCATCTAGAGCGGGAGCTGCGCTTGCAGCTATTGATTTTTTTTTTCTTCTTCTCCCTCTTTTCTTTCTCACCACCCTCTCTCCAACACAGATTTTAATCATCTCAGAACACCACATTCCCCTAATACCATTAACAACACTAACCTTCCAGCGCACAAAAGCGTTTAATTTCCAATGACACAAATTTCTCTCCAAGAGTCTCAAATAGTGTTTTTGCGCAATTTGCTGGCCTTAAGGTTTTGCTTGCTGGAATAATTGAATTGCGATCCTCTCACTTAGTCTTGCATAAAATCACTAGGCAAAGAGCTAATCAGTGCAAAAGAGACGATAGTTTCCTCGGTTTGCCTTATTAGCCCGTTTTAAAAGAGCAAAGAGCATTTTTTTTTCTCCCGACTGACTTTGGAGCAACCGATTTTGCGTCGGACTGACAATTAGAGTTGAACACCAATGCGAGCAGAAATGTATTCAAGCTGTTTGTTCCTCTGTCAGTGCTGCTGTTTGTATCCATAAATAAAAGATGACCTTTAAATGTTTACATAATTTATACAGCTATAAATTCTTAATATATCTGACTGCAAATGAGAGAGTGAGTCGCTTGATTATGGTTCGTAGTAGAGTTAAAATACAGGTTGTGTGGTGTGCTATACACACACCTGTATGTGAGTCAGCAAGGACAATTTTTATATTTGACTAGGGCAGAGGCTATCTTCTTCTACCTAATCAGTGTGTGTATATATAGCCGTTTCATCTCTGGGAAAATATGAAAGCGGTCGTTTTGGCTTTAAATGAACATTATTCGTATTACAATGTAGCTCACGGATCGTTACATCATTCATTACCAGGATATAAAATTAAACCCTAATAAAACAGAATTTATCAGGAACTGTAACATTACACAGTTTTGTTTTACTGATTGGATACTTGTCTGATCCTGTTGACTTAAAGGGATAGTTCACTTTGAAATTAATTTTTGGCTCTTACCTCAAGGGCATTCAAGATGTAGGTGTCTTTGCTTCCGCTGTATTTTCAATTTTGATATTTTTAGTTCAAACCGTTGGTGTCTATCAGTCATATAATGGAGGTCTATGGGGTCCACCTCAAAGAGCATGCACGGAGAAGTCCAAATTAAACGGTATGGTAATACACATTGATGGCCTAAGACACAAAACGAGCGGTTTGTGTGAGAAAACGAACAGTTTTTATATAGATTTTACCTTTTGTAACCACTGCCACGTACAAGTTGAGGGCGCGGGCGCTTTGTGACTGTGGTTACAAGAGGTAAAAACGATATAAATACTGTTCGTTTTCTCACACAAACCGCTCGTTTCGTGTCTTAGGCCATCAATGTGTACTTACATTTATGAGTCATTAAATCATGTTTAATTTGGACTTCTCTGCGCATGCTTTTTGTGGTGGACCCCATAGACCTCCATTATATGACTGATAGGTGAACGGTTTGACCTAAAAATATCAAAAAATTAATTTCAAAGTGAACAATCCCTTTAAGTGGTTCAAATCAAATAATTGCAAACTGTGTAGAAAAGAAAGAGTGTTTTTACTTTGCTGGAAAATTTATGTGGGGTTTACATGTCGCAAAAGGTGGAATATTCCCTGCATTAATCCACCAAAACAAATGTGATAAGAAAATCACTTTTGGGACAGGTGCAGTTGACAGCTGCAACACAATAGCCTGTGTTGTATAAGAAAAAAAAAATCATTTATGAAAAGATCAAAATGTATGCAAAATAGAGTTTCAAGGTCATCCAAAAATACTTTCTCACACGGCAATAAATTACATTTGCGCCCTGGTCATGACGCGTCAGTGTGTATAGCGATCATTATCATAATGGCTACACATAAGCTGACCTTTGACCTATGGATGTAATGATTCTGCAAAGGCATGAGAATAGATGCTTACCTATTTTTTTTTCTTCTGTTTACTGTAGGTGCATCATCTCTGTGTGAGGAAAGTCTTGTTAATATGGCGGCGATGAGGTAAACAGATAGGAAGTGATGGAGTGGCAGACCCACGGGGGATAACCACATGAGGTGTGACAGACCACTGACATCAGCCCTTGTTCTCTTGCTCGCTCGCTTACTCTCTCCATCTCTCTCTCCAGCACACACACTGATTTCCAGGAAGGGGTCATTAATGTGAGGAGGAAAAAAAAAACCCGAATCTAGTCATGGCTTTAAAATGGAGCATCCTCTCATAACGAACGGGTCTGAGTCAGGAGAACAGCGCAGCGAAGGTTTTAATTCCTCCATTTAAGAGACAAAATGCATCATAGTTTAAAATTTTATTTGAGAATAACTCCCTTAAGTGGTAGCAGAGTTCATCTTAACCTGGCCGATAAACGAATAAAAATGATCAGCTTTTCGTTCTCTACACACCAGCCCTCTTTATAGAAACACAGCAGTGGTTTTAACATCCGTACAGTAGTTAAATGTTCACATTTAACAGTCGTAATTGACATTTTCCCTCACTCCCTTCAGCAATGATATATCAAAGAGTGCATCAGCCGCCGGAGGAGGAGAGAAAACATTAGGAGGATTAATAAAGGGGGGAGGGAAATAGATTGAGCGTTCACCGAGATCAGTAAAATAGGATCTGTCAAGCAACCCTGCAACATCCATCCTTTGGAGAGAAAAAAAAAAAAAAAGACAGAGGTACATTTTCATGGATGGAAGGAAGGAAAAAACAGAGGCCAGCCTCTGCGGCTGATCAATTTCCCGAGATTAGCTTTCAGCGGCTGAGCCTGCTTCCATTTGTAAAGATAATATTATTTAATAACCCTTTTGGGTGACTATTTAAATTATCATAGTGCCTACAGTGCGAGGCGCTAATGGAAATATTTAACATAAATTCCCTTTTAAAAAAAATGAGGCCTTAAACAACAGTTGTAAGAATTATTCGGAAATTAAAGGAGTGTGCATAAATGATTCTCCCTGGCCTTGACGCGCTGTTCTCAATTACATTCTGCTCAACTGGAACAATGGAACGATGCTAGCGTGCCGCTTTATCGCGCATATATATGCGCTCTTACGAATGTCATATGGGAGCTATTTACGGCCACTAGCATCAGTGCCAAGGGCATTGAAAACATGCAGCAATTCTGAATGTGCAAAAGAGCAGTACAGTAAGGTAAATTTCAAAGACAGACATCTGAAGATCCAAAACGAAGGAAGAAAGAGACAAAGCCAGCCTGTATCAACTTCTTTTTAATGATCTCATTGCGAAACACCTTCCCCTTTCCTGTCTTGCTAACATTAAATTGCATAATGCCAACTGAACGCTCGCATTTGTTCCCCCTTTCCCTTCTCAGGAAATCTATTTCAATTTTCACGCCAACTGTCAGTCCGCATCAAACCTTGATTTATGCAAAAACAACGTCTGCTTTAATTAGTCATTTCGGCTCAGTGCTGCCTGTGCTCTAGGCGCTGAGCGGGGTCAGGCATTCGGAGGAACCTCCTTTTTGAATGATCAAAACTAGGCCATCGGCAACACCGTGATAATAGCCACGTCTCAACACCACAGCAGCATGCGAGAGTGTGTGTTCGAGTGTGTATTTATCCCCCATGAGCCGTCCATCTCCACTCGGCAGGGTGGTTTTGGGTGGAGCTTGGGTAATCACAGCAGTCACTATACACCTGGAGGACTGGAAAATAATAAACAATTAACAGGTAGTTTTTCCCGTCAGCTCTCTATACTTTCCCAGGCAGAGCGAGCGAGAGAGAGAGAGAGAGAGAGTGGAGGGAACAATGTTTACACAGCAATATTACATTAATCAAGACAAAATGATCTCAAATACACCACATTATGCTCTTGTACGGGATTAGCGTCCGTGATCTTCCAAACGAAAGCAAACCACACCATGTGTTTTTGCTCGTTTCGGATTGCAACACTTCTTGATTGCCGCAATCGCAATCACGTAGAGCAAACAAAAGTGGCTGAACGCTTGTGCTAATTTCACAGACTGACATTTCAGATGAAAAATTCACCAGACAGATGCTCAGAAGAGAGCAGTTCTCTCGTCGGATGTTGGGGAAGTGCGTGTGAGTTGTGAGTAACGACGGTCACATGAATGGGGAGGGCAGACAAACTTATTCTCACCACCAATTCTATTTTGGGGTCTGTGTGCTGCATGCTTTGCTGACTGAAGTGGCATTGTGTCCTTTGTGAAAGCATGACCCTCTGAGGTGCGTTCATTTGCTGTGAACCTCGGCCAGGAAAAAAGCAGGAGGCTGGAGACCAGGGCAAGGCGTGGGAAAGCGACTAGAGAACGAGCGAACGGTGGAAAAGCCGAGAGATCTGCTGGCATTCCTTTGTGATTACACATCTGTGGAGAAGGAGGCCAGACATTCTTTCAGCCGGTGTCCGAAGCTGCTGACTTCTACCCTCGATCTCTGCGCTGTTGTTTCTGTAGGAAAAAAGAAGAAAAGAAACTCAGCTGTGAACGTTTTATTTGGTGACTGGAGACTTTGTGTTTCCTAATACAGAAGCATGACGCTCGCTGAATCAGCCCCTTTCAACTTTGTACTCTGATGTAAAGTCTCAGAACTCAAGCTTGTGTCCTTGTTCTCGCAATGAGATATGAGATTTCAGTGTTGAGCGCTCATGTTCTGCACTTCCTTCCTCTTTTGCAATTCCTTAATCCAGTCATCCACTGGTGGGAGGCCGAACATGACAGCAGACGGACAAGGCAAACACTGGTGGGGGTGGTGCTTGTGTTCCTTCTTTGTTCTGATGCTGACCTCTTCATTAAAGGGCCTTTGTCACCATGTAAGGATTAAGAGTGAAAGAGAGCTCTTCTTAGTCAGGGTTCAAATCTGTCTCCTCATAAAATGCTCTTCCATATGTGCCCATCAATGCAATGTGGCTGTGATCTTTTATAACATTTGCTTTAAGGATTCCAAAGATGTTTCCTCTCACCCTACTCTTTTAAAAACTGATTTAAGCCAGACTGTGGCGGAGTTTTATAAAGTAAACCGGTTATTAAATAAAGTAGTTCTTAAGTAACTTATCTCTGGCCATGATCAATGACCCAATTATAAAGAATTAATTTAATTTTCTCAAGAAATAAAGTCTAAGGCCTGCTGTTTAATTCATTTAACTGTTCAATCAAAAAATGAATGCAATTGAAAACGCATTTCGGATCAGCTATCAGTCTTCATAGGCTGAGAAATTGATTTTTTTTTTTTTTTTTTTTGTAAGCTTGCGTGCGTAATGACAAATTGTTTGCCTCAGTTAGTAAAATATATGAATATAGCTGTATTTTAAGACATTGTAACTTGTAAAGCAACATATTTGTTTGCATTGTTCATGATATATTTTTAATTACAACGGTGACAGGATAAATGCCATGTGGCTGTGAGTAAACACCACGAGCGAAGCAGTGCAGTCATTACTGGATCAGATGCATGACACCGCCCTCTACTGGACAGGCAAACAAATAGCCAAAGATGAAGCTGTAAAAAACACAATAAATCTTTTACAAATGCCACTTTTTTCTTTTTCTTGTTTTATTTATTGGATTTATTTTTTACTAGAATTTACTCTGAATGACACTTGACAAAATACCAGCATTTATTAGAATTTATTTCTCATTACTGGCTTTGTATTCCACCTGCATTTTTAAGTTTTACAACATATATTTTCATTATTCAATTAACTACATTATATAACACGATGACTAACAAGGGAAAATAAGACAAACCCCCAAGAGGAAATACACATGTACATGTGTAGACAAAATTCTATATAAATAATAATTAAAATAATCACAACATTTTTAAAAGCTTGATGTTTTTTTTTTTTTGTTTGTTTTTTTCAAGGAGTCAATTTACAGCCTGGATTCACTTTGTAAGATCTTCAGTTGTGTTTTCTATTAGAAATTTACTTATACATACATACAGTGCAGTAAATATGTATTTTTTTTATTCATGCAGAGTAACAAAACATATATGTAATTAATTTTAAATAGATGTAACACTTAAAAAACAATTTTAAAAAGATCAAGATGAAAAAAAATATATTTATAAACAGTTCTTCAATCCCCATTGCCAGGTTTATTGGTAACATTTACAGACTTTCAGCTGTTTGCATTGAATAAATCAAACAAAAGTAATTGAAATAATTCAACACAACACATTTTTCAAGTGGTTTCCCCAAATTCAACTGAAAATGCAACTTTAAATGATTTTGAAAAATTGAATCAAATCTGCAAAACAGGTGTTGTCTCAAGCACACCTGATGCAACTAATCAAGGGCTTCATTAGTTGCACCAGTTGTGCTTAAGCTAGAACACATTAAATACCTGAACTGGCTAGGTTTGTTGAGTGTCATATTCAAATGCATGTTAGACATATGGCTAAGTCAAAAGATTGGTCCAAAAAGTTAAAGCTACACTGTGTAACTCTTAGTTCTTTCAAAAATATATGTGCTCATTAATGTATATTTAGTTCGTTCAAGTAATAAAGTATTCTCGTGAGTGTATAATATGCCAACATTGAGAATACATACGGGTAAGGGGTTCTAATGTCGGTCGCCATGTTGCCCCTCCATCTTGAAAGTACATTAGCCAAAGAGGGACATAACCGTTAATTCAAGCTTCGCCTTTCGCGTTTACGTTTGAGTTAACACTCATGGACGAGGTCAAACTGGAAGCAATGTTAATCTTGGACTACATTGGCCACCGTAGGAGTTAAAACGAAATCAGAATTGAGAGGAACAGAAACTAATATTCACTGGATGGTCAAATACCTTTTCACTGCTAGATGGGGGTAAAAATCACACAATGTAGGCCTACTTTTAAGAGAAGATATCATCGCCCTTCACAAACAAGGAACAGGATATAAAAAGTGTGAAGGAGTAGGAACAGTGAAGGAACTAAATGTTCCTAGAGACAACGTCAGAGGCATAGCTCGCAAGTTAAAAGAACGGTGGTTACACTGGACGGGAAAGAGAAAGAAAGCTATCAATTGCTGCAACCAGATCACTGAGAAGGGAGGTTCAGAAAAACCCTTGAGTGACTGCAAAAGATCTGGAGCAAGACTTGGTGGCAACAGGCACTTAGGTTTCAGCATGCACAGAAAGGCGCGTACTAAACACATGTGGTTTCTGCTTTGTCTAAATACCCAAACTTGCGGTCTTGGCCACTTGAGGGTGCGTGCCCGCCACAGGAAGTAAGTGCGCAAGAATGTCCCATGTCTTAAAAGTGTGGAAAGTGCAGTGCAGTGCAATGCACATTAAACTCTAAAGCATGTACCATCATGCATTATGTTTGGGAACTCATGTGCCCCCGAAATCGCGAGATGTCGAGGAAAACATTCCACTGTAATTTAAATGAATTAGATGCATGTAATTTGGTAATAGACACATTAAGTGTTGCTTGTTTTATTTGGTGCAAAGATGAGTATGGTATGTGTTGGCCTCAACACTTGCAACTGTTTTTATCACTTTTTAAATTCATGTCCTCTGTTAGTTACATAGCGACTACTGAACAGATGGACGTTTATTTTAAAATGCAAAGTATTGAAAATTTGGTAAATGAAAGCTCTGTAAACACTTGCCATTTTTTGCAAGACTGTAAGTGTGTCCCATCGAGTAATCAAAAGTTCTACACACATTTGCAGTCTTTACACCTACTTGAAACATTTGGGCTAAAAAGAGGAAATACGTGATGCAAGTAGACAAGTGGTCAAGTGCAAAGACCACAAGTAGTGTGGGTAACTCCATTACTGACCCAAAAGCACAAGTAAAGGCAGCTCCAATTTGCTCAAAATCATTTAAATAAGCCACAGAAGTTTTGGCATTCTGTTCTGTGGAGCGATGAAATAAAACGGGAACTTTTCGGCCCTATGGATTAGCGGTATGTCTGCAGGAAGAAGAATGAAGCAAATGCTGAAGAGAATAAGCATGGTGATGGCTCGGTGATGCTCTGCGGCTGCTTTGCATCCTCGATGGATTCATAGAACTATCAGGAAATCCTAGGAGAAAACATCATGCCAACATCATTGGACCTTCCAACAGGAAAATGATCATTTCTAAAAATAAGCATATTTAGAAATGCAAAATATATCGGTAAATATATCGGTAAAAGAAGCACACATTGGCTTTTGCCGCTGGCCAATGCACACTGAGTGGCCACTCCCCAAAATAAACATTCTGACATTAGAGGGTTGTGGTTTAAAAATATCTGAATATTATATTTTATTCACTATCATTTGCAGTAGCCTATTCACAAACTGTTTGCTCAAGCGTAGCGTTTTCTCAGAGTTCACTGTGTAGCCTGCTCTAGCCCAGGTCTGAACCTCCCCTGAATCGCCATGCTTATTCATTTGTGGATGTTAACTGAATCTGTAAGTCAGATAGCCACACTGTTTAATTCTGAATATTATGTGTTATTCTGTTGCGCTTAACGGTATCATTTTCTCAGAGTTTAGGCTCCTGTGTAATAGTAGGCTAGGCTATTCAGCAACTCAAACATATAAAACCTTAACAATTACTAAAAACAAACAAAAACAGATTTTGCACAGGCATTGCACTAGTATCTCAAAGGCTTGGTTGCAGAAGAAGTCTTGGAAGATTCTTGCATGGCCATCAGTTACCTGACTTTAACTCTATTTTTTACAGTCTACCCTTCAAATATAGAAAATCTCTGGTGGGATTTGAAGAAGGCGGTTGCAGCACGCAAACCCAAGTATTACTGAACTGGAGGCCATTGCTCATGAGGAATTAATGGGCTAATATTCCTCAGAAATGCTGCCAGATGCTTGTGTCTGGTTATACATCTTGTTTGCAGCAGGTCATTACCAGCAAAAGGGTGTTCTACTAAGTACTAAAGATGCTTGCCATGAAGGGGTTGAATACATTTGAGACTGCAGAAGTCATTAAAAGTTGCATGTTCAGTTGAATTTGGGTAACCACATTTGTTTCTGAGCTATTTCAATTACTTTTGTTTGATTTGTTCATTGGAAACAGCTGTAAGTCTGTAAATTTTGCTAATAAACCTGATATACTTTAATTATTTTGATTACAACTGTATATAAAAGTTGATGTTGATAACAACACACACACACAACAAGAGTCTTTAATACTAAATTTGCTTATTAATAGGCCTACATTTCTGTCTTTTGCTTCAAATTGTAACAGAGTGGACAAAAATGTGCAAAATAAATGTAAACCATCTGCAGGGAAATGTTTAGACTACACAATGAGTTCATTTAGCTAATACATGTTTTCAGTGGGCGCTAATACGGCAGTATTGCTGCGTAGAATCAATGGAAATGTCAAATAGCATGTAGGTTTTACAACCTAACACATCATTTTGTTGTTATAGTTCACAGGCATCTTCACAGAGAAGAGGGCGGGACGTATTTCGCTACGCTGCCGTTCACTCGCTAGTGCGGCTGTCAATCAGCCTCCGCGAGCGGCGATACGCGTTTCCTGCGGGTGTCCTCTTACACTTTAAACCACGTGACCCTCCCTATATCAACACACGGACGCCATTAATAATAAAGGCAGAGAGACGGAAAATCAGAGGTGAGTGCATACGGAAGTGATGCCATCTGGAGCATTTTAACACGATGAGATTTGGTACTCTTTAACGGATCGCGTTTGTTAAGTGGTAATGTAAACGCTTACGGATTAATTGCATTCGTTTAGCAAACGAGATTTATTCTTGTATTTACGAAGTGTCCCGGTTAACAAAAACAAGGCCTAGACATCTGGCAGACTGCTGGGTTATTAATGCGACTGACTCCTGGGATCACATGCGTAGTTTAACGGGTCAGTTGTGCATGTCACGAACATGTCCTGTGTTGAACGCGCTGGGTTAAATCAGTGATTTATTGGGAGCGAAAGCTTTTGTACGGGATAAATACTCCGTGTTTACCTCCTCTATGAGCCATTTGTCTTTTAATGTAACTTACTTGTAACTCGAGAGCTGTGCTGAGCTAATGCAAATCACTGACATCTCGCCAGTTTGATATGCCTCAGCTCAGCTGTGGTTTACAATCATAATCCTGCTGTTTGTCCTGTCAAGTTCAAACAAGAGCACCGAACTGGAATTGAACGAAATACATTTTGAGAGGTCAATGTTTATAGACTACCATTTTGATCCAAAGTATCATTCATGAGTCAAATTTAAACTTGTTGGCACTTAAAATATTGTCGATGCACATCCCTGAAATCTGGAAAGAGCATATTGTGATACGAAACTACATTTAGGAAACTCAAAAGAAAGAAATGCATGGTTGGAAGCAGTAACTTAAATGTCTATTATTTTTATAGGTGTAACTTACTATCTATTGTGATTTTGTTGAGGGTACAAGTCTGGGTTTGGTTTAACAAAATGTTCATGCACAGGTTGCATAATCGGTGAACAAAGCCAGAGGGTTTAGCACATGGGCGTTTAACTTCTTGTTGTGTCTTCTGTTACATACACGCCTTGATGTTAATGTTTTTCTTTTCATTTACTAAGACGGCTTTTGCAAATGTGAA